ATTATACAAATTTGTGTCCTCATAAACCACATAAACATGCACACACACACACACACACACACACACACACAGACACGCACGCACAAACACACACACAGACACACACAAGCACGCACGCACACACACACACAGAGACACACAGACACACACACACACATGCACACGCACACGAACACAGACACAGACACAGACACACAAACACAGACACACACACACACACACACAGAGACACACAGACACACACACACACACACACATGCACACGCACACGAACACAGACACAGACACACAAACACAGACACACACACACACACACACGTCTGGTCAGCTATCCTTGTGGGGACTCTCCATAGGCGTAATGGTTTTTATACTGTACAGACCGTATATTCTATTGCCCTACACCAACCCTACCCCTAAACCTACCCCTTACAGGAAACTTTCTGCATTTTTAGATTTTAGATTCACAATTTAGGTCCCCACCGTGACACGAGTCCCCATGAGTCTGTGTCTATTCAGGTTTAAGTCCCCACCAGGATATATAAACCTGTACACACACAAAGAACAGAAATATTATTCTACCTCAGGATCAGGTCTTAGAGCTGGGTCCAGCCAGAGGACTTCATCTATGTCACAGGCGATTTTGTCCATTGCCAGTCAATGTCTGAATTTTTTAAAGGTTTTGCAGAAACCAGATTTATTTGACAAATTGGTTTAGGCTATTCAGAATTTGGTTAAGATAATGGGGTTTAGTGTCTTAGCAACTGTGAAAATCTGCAAGTAATAATTCTGAGCACAGTGCTTAAATGTCGACAAGAATGATTGCTCCACTTCAAATAATGAGAAGTTTGATGTCGACTGTTAAAAGTGTAAATGCTTTTGGTATGTTGTGGTGTAATGTCCTCTCAGCATCTTCAATATTTCCAGCTCAAGTCTTTTGCCACTCTGTGTAAACTGATGAAAAAGTCTGGAAAGAGGTCAAAAATCCTCTTCTCTTCAAATACATTTCTGACATTTCTGTTAGAAACAAAAGAGGCAGAGTGAATTAACTGAAAAATAGAAGCATTACAGTCAGATAAACACACCAACACTTGACGGCCTCCCTATACATATTAATGAAACTGAACTGAAATCAGTACAATGGTCAAATAACAGAAATAGAGATGGTTTTTTGTCTCACTCACGCGTGCACCAGTTTGTTGCGCAAAACATGATAGAGAATGCTTCCAATGAAGTGACTGTAAGGAAGAAACAAAAGTCAGATTGAATTACAGGTTTAGTTAGGTGGAGTTGGAGGAGGGAGTTAATTGCAAGCAGTGATGCGATGGAAGAGACGCTGAAGAATGGGAATTTAAATAGACCGCTTGTGATAGGTGTCAAGACTGGATTGGTACACGTCAGGAACAGCTGACTGTCGGCTGATGCGAGCTTGACTGACGTGGCCTGCCTGAACTAAAACTATGCTGAATGTTTATGGCATTTGGCTAGCACAGATCTTTTAGTGGGCTGCATTGTTAGCAGTCCCAACACACCACTGAATGAACCAATGTAATGTAGAGAGCAAAAAAAGGAAGGCTCTTGTTTTGTGTTTGTGAGTCTTTAGTTTCTCACCTCTGATTGCCAATTAGAAAAGCTTTTTCCCCTCTGTGACCTCCTCCGCAGTGTTGAAGAGCTTCCAAAGAAAGGCTCATTAAATCCTCACCAACTATAGTAAGGATGTCATTTTTCCTGAAGGACAACAAATGAGCATACAAAGCCTGGGACATGATCCACATTTCATGTAAACTATGTTATGTAAAATAAAATAAATTTATTAATATATGTACTGCTGCTCAAAGTTTTGGAATAACTAAGATTTTTTTATGTTTTTGAGTAATACTGTGAAATATTATTACAATGTAAAATAACTATTTTCTATTGTAATGTTAAAATGTAATATATTCCAGTGATGTAAAGCTGAATTTTCAGCTTCATTACTCCAGTCTTTAGTGTCACATGATCCTTCAGAAATCATTCTAACATGATGATTTGCTGCTCAAGACACAATGTTTGAACTGTTTTAAATAATTATCAATGTTGAAAACAGTTGTGCTGCTTCATATTTTTTGTGGAAAATGTGGTACGTTTTTTTTCAGGATTCTTTGATGAATAGAAAGTAAAAAAAACAAAAAACAACAACAAAAAAAAACACTTGAAATAGAAAACTTCTGTAACATTATAAATGTCTTTACTGTCACTTTTGATCAATTTAATGCATCCTTGCTGAATAAGTATCAGCTATTTTTTGAATCTTACTTACCCCAGACTTTTGAATGGTGTATCATGGTTTTCACAAAAATATTAAGCTGCACAACTGTTTTCAACAATGACAATAATAAATGTTTTAAGCAAAACATGAATGATTTCTGAAGGATCATGTGTCACTGAAGACTGGAGTAATGATGCTGAAATACAGCTTTGCAGCACAGGAATTAATTATAGATTAAAATAGAAAAATGGTATATTAAATTCTAAAAATATTTCACAATATTTGTTTTACCATATTTGATCAAATGAATGCAGCCTTCATGAGCAAAAGTGACTTCTTTCAATAACTTAGAACTTCTTTTTGTTCTGGATTTTCAGTTCGCTGAAGGCCTCATTAATGGTCAGTGCTGCTGCTGGGTCTGTTCCCTTTCTCTACGTAGAGTTTGCGAAGTTTTGCTAAAGTCTCATAGTTCTGGATTTCAGGCCTGTCACGCAGCTTCCTAAGGACTGCATCTTTGCTGAAGGACAGAAAAACATGCAGGCATTGAGCAGGTCAGTTCAGAAACAGAACAAGGGTGAACGTTCAGAAAGTGCATATTAAACACAGCATACACTACATGCATGTTTCGTTGCGGTGATAGTTCACTGAAAAATACAATTCTGTCATAATTTACTCACCTTCATATTATTCCAAACCATTATGACTTTCTTTCTTTCAATATAGAAGACAGAAATATTGAATATTCTTGCCACACATTTGAATAGATTGAAACTAAACAAGCTTTCAAATTGACAAAATAGCATCATAAAACTGGTTCTTATGACTGAATGGTATGAGGATGAGTAAATAATAACAGAATTGTAATATTTGGGGGAACTATTCCTTTACGATTCTCAGACTCACAGCTCAAGATAGATGCCAAACTAAAGAGACCAAAATCTAGAAACAAGATCCCGGCAGTGACTCAAGAGGAGAGTCAAGAGTTATTTCTGTCAGCGTATCAGGCAAGAACAGCATCTGAAGAACTGGAAAGAAACAGAAGAAACGATTTCAAACAAGCAAGATGAAAAGAAATTGTGGGAAAAGAAATGCAGAGGAAAACCATGCATAAGATCGATCTCATAGAAGCAGGTGGTGAACATCATAATCAAGAACTGTGAAATATTCCTTCAGAAAGATGAAACAAATACATACTAGATTAACTTACCTTCACTTCACAGTGATAAAAACTAAAACTGCAAACGTCTATTAAACATTGTTTATTATTCACCTGTCTTCATCCCAGAAATAAGGGTGTCGCAGGACCTCATCAATAGTCAGTCTCTCTGCCGGGTCTTTCTTGATCATCCATTTAAAGAGATCCTTTGCTACTGTATCTTGTAAATCTTCAAGAGAGTGCTGCCCATTCTTGAAGTTCTCCTCACGATCCTTTGTGTCCTCAAACGGATGTTTCCCGTCAGAGAGAATGTAGCTAGTAAGGTTTTCAGATAATATCAACTTAAAATATTAGAGTTCAAATTCATCTTTCCTATAGCTAGCTATCTTTGCTGGTAATATTTGCATGATATTTGACAGACCTGGATGTCTGAACTCTTCTTGTAACCTGTTTCTTGATTCAGGATCTCCGTAGCTTCCCAGCCTTGTGTACCAGCTCTAGCAGTATGCACTGTGCTTCTGCCCTCCTCCAGTTTACGACTTATGCCAAAGTCAGCCAGCCTTGCATTTTTTCCTGAATCTGTTGAGAGTATGTTACAGTTTTTAAGTCACCTGTATTCTTGAATAAATGCAAAGTCTAACATTACTTTGATAAATCCCTTGAAAAACTACAAAAGCAGTAAAACCTATTTTTAATACCCATCAAAACATTTGCAGGCTTTATATCGCGATGTATCACTCCAGCACGGTGAAGAATCTCCTTCACTATTTTCCTCAAAGCGGTGTCTTTGTCTTGTTGTTCTTCCTGACAAAGATTTTTCATGTAATCCTCCATATCATATTCACAAAGCTGTAGTGCAAGATAATAAAAGTCTTCATCCTCTGCTAAGTCCACGTACCTGACAATGTTCTTGCTTTCAAGATTTAAATCTCGTAGATGCTTTAGTTCATTTTCAAAGTAACTGCTTTCCTGTTGGTCCTTGATTATTCGTTTAATGGCCACCTCAGTGCCATCTTCCTTCAGGCCAAGATAAACCGTGCCACTTCCTCCAGAGCCAATAATGTATTTATTCCTTCTAGAAAAGTAGAGGTTCCCGACTTTCTTTCTGGAGGAATCTGTCCGGAGCTCCTCTATTTTACTTCTGTACTTTATTGAGGATGGGTTCCACCTGACGATATCATTCTCAGGGCTGTCTGTCTGTGAGGATGGCCCTGCAAAATCCATTTTAGATAAAATCTGAAAATATATATATATATGGTTTAAATAAATAGTTTTCTTCATTTTTTTCCTCTAATACCCTACCTGCAAGTTCTTGAATGACACCAGGGTTGATTTCTTGCAGTACTTTGTAAAAAGCAGATTTTACTGCAGGTCCTCCAGATTTGACAATGTCTAGAAGCTCACTCAATTGAGTCTTTTTAGAAGTCGTCTTTGTGATCTTCGAATACACTTCCCAGGTAAGCTTTCTGTTTTCATACAGCTTATCAGTGATGGGCATCACAGATGTTACTCTCTGAATGAGAGCCTCATAGTGTGTGTCCACAAACTCAGCATCAAATATCAATCAGGCTATCAACCATTTCTCAGCTTCAGCACCCGGTAAAAAAACAACAAATCAACTAGTAAGTCATCAAGTGAATTAGCTCTGTGCCAATATTATTTCAAATGTGGTGCATTGAAGTTGAAGTGAATATGAAACTTACGCTGATGTTCCATTGTTTTTCTTCAGTGTAAAATTGCTAAGAAGACAAAAAAGTAATACAAAAATATTATCATGCTGCTTTATATCAATTATTGTATATTCTTAATCATTTAAATCAAAAACAAATGCAAAGTCATAGTCAAAACAGATTTTAACTGGAAGGTTGAACTAATGAACTACAAAAACAAGGGCACTTTACATGTTATAAGCATCAAGTTGGAGCGAGTTGTCACACACTAATTTCTGTCTGCCAAAATAATAATTTTTTGTTGTTGTCATAATTGTTTTGCTTCCTACAATAGGCTGTTTAATAGCAGGCTCCATTGTGACAACTTACCCCGAGCAGTGTGACAACATGCCCCCTATCATGTTGTCACCAAAGTCATCGTTCATTCAGTAGACAGTATTTTTATTTATTTATTTAAGACTTTCGACTACAGTTCGTGATATAAACAGGCCGACTTTACTTATTTGAAATCGAAAGGAATTACTTTGCAAAACTGACCAAGAGTGCAGTCAGTCAAGCAGGGCACAATAATCCAGCAGCTAATAAAACACTCATATTTGGTGCCATAAATACAGATGTGAGTTTCACATACCTCTAGTTTATTAATAATCACTTATAACTATTATTCGTGCAGAAATTAGGACGCTAGACAGGCGAAACACGAAGCTACGATGAGGGCGGAAGAGGAAAACAAAGCAGCCAATCAGCGACAGCACACAACAACACGAGAGCTGTAGTTTCCAAGAAATCCACACCTCTACAGTTCAACAAACTCAGTTCTGCTTAGTTTGCTCAAATCGTCGTTATTACAAATGTAAGAGAGACATAACTGAGGATTGTAGTGGTAAATTAGAACAACATTTACGTTTTGTGCTTGAGCAGCCCACTGTTGCTATGGTTACTTCCTGAGTTTTATATTTACTGATATATTTGAAATATATGAACATATTTTAAATGTTAAAAAAACACTCACGAGTAAGAAATCAATATAAAGAGTTTTATTCAAAATTCCAGTGCAAGATAAAAAAAACTCAAAACTGTTTTATGTTGTAAAATGGCATGAGGGTCAGTAAATTATGACAGAACTGTCATTTTTGGTTGAACTGTCCCTTTATCACATAGTGTACATAGTGTATGTGATCTTCAGAAGACACACTCTTTGACTGTTTTTACAAATTTAAACAAATACAATTCATTTAGCATTACAGCACTGAGTCAATGAATATACAACAAGCAAACAAGTTGAAAATATCAATATTGACTTTAGTTAAAAACATAAATCGCAACGTTATGCAGGCCTTAAAAACCACCTCCACCTTTAGAGCTGAAACCAATATTGTGGAGTTTAAAAATGTTTAGTGACCTTTAAAACACCAATATTCAACATTAAAGGGGTCATATGATGTTGCTAAAAAGAACATTATTTTGTGTATTTGGTGTAATGAAATGTTGAATATTTGGGTTAAAATATTTGGGTTAAACTGTTCTGGAACAGTGTTGTAAATACCACTGATTTGATATCGTGTGGTCTTTTGGAAGACCAAACAAAGTAGTTTCGCTTTCACAACGTTGAAATCGCATCATATGACCCCTTTAAGTGTAAAGCAATTGAGGCAGCAAAAGACTGAAAAGTGAAATATTTGCCTCCAAAAAAGTACATGATCAAAACTATGAAAACAAAAAGAAAGACCGTGTACAGGTGTCTCCATGCAATTTCTCAGCATCTTCAATATTCCCAGCCCATTTCCACAGCCAGTCTATGTAAACTGATGAGGAAATCTGGAAACTCATCAACCATCTTCTCTTCATAGAACTCTTTTTCCCTATTAAAAGAGGTAGATCTTATAACATATAATATACAATATATAATATACGATAATAAATACAAAAATCATACATGGAACCTTCAGGAAAACTGGAGGTTTTCTTTGTTAAACTTGTATCCTGCAAAATGCTAGATTTACATATCGCCCCTTTTCTGTACTTACTGATGTCCCAGTGCATTGCGCAAATGCCGTAACAGTCCAAGCAAGTCACTGGGAAGATTTTTGCCAATTTTTGTCCATGTCTTAGGAGCCTGCAAATACAAAGTTACTTACACCTGGAAATCTCAGTGCAGGAAAATACAACACTGTTTTTATAATCAATATAATTTACATTTACTGAAAATAATAATAATATATAATATTAAAAATAATGAATCCCACATAAAGACAGCACAAACCAGGTTTAGCTATGTTGCAACTGAACTTATTTAATGTAGTCTGGTTTGTATTTTCCTTCGCTTTGTGTATTTTGTTGTATGATTCGTAAGGGCATCACATCACCTGTTCATGGTGGCATTTGTCTCATTTGCTTCTAACAAGTGATTCATGAATTTGTAAGTGGCACAGACTTGAAAGAAATGGAATGTGCTTCCTCTGCCTTTAAATATTGATGAGACTGTTGTTTATTTTGCTGTACTAAATATGCACCATTATATGGTTAAGTGCATTGATTTTCTCCTTCGTCCGAACATAAGAGACAACAACCCAGTTTGGGATCACTAGTACTACCTAGTACCTACCAGTTAAGAATCACTCATCTAGTTTGCTGTGCTGTTAATAGTCAAAAAAACAGCAGGAGACTCACCGCGCCGTCAAACCAAGGTGCGTAGACCAAAAAAGTTTACCAAAGAGTAAAATACTTGGTAAAAAGCCTGCACACTCTCAAAAATTAAAATTCACAAGCGAGATGAAAGCAGCGTAAGCAATTTACTGAAAAAAAAAAAAACAAGCCAAACATTTCGGTCACATGTTGACCACTTTCAATGCTGAGCTAACAGTGTTGGAACTGGGAGCCATCTTGATTTTTGTTAATAGTCCAAACACAGCCTTAACTGAACCAATCAGCAATTTAGCAAGGAGAGGAAAACACATCTCTTACGTTTAGGTGAAGAAGTCATTGCTCACCTTTGTCTTCCAGTCAGAAAAGGTTTTTCCCGTCGTGTATTTCTGTACAGTGCCATAAAGCTTTTTATTGTTTTCATAGTTCTTGTATTCCTGGACTTCCTCTTTATTACCCAGATTGTGAAGAACCTCTCTTATCCTGAAGGAAAAACAAGATTGTGAAGGCATACAGCACGTTCAGGGGTGAGTTCACATCATTTCTGCACAGATCAATTATATAATAATGATCGAATTCTTCTTTCAGAGAAAGACTGGTGCATAAATATGAGGGCTAGTCAGGGAATTTATGACAGAAAAATGTCCCTGACTTGACCTACTGTGTTAGGGAAATGTAACAATGTACTCTTACTAACAGGCAGCAAAGCAGCACGTTGTAGAGCCGTCTCAAGGAGGATCAGAACTGATGCAGACTGACAGCTCAGGATAGATGGCAAGATAATAAAAAGCCCAAAGTCTAGAAACAAGACAATGCCAGTGACTCAGTATGAAAGAGATGCTTTTTGCAAGAGAATCAGGTAAAAACAGCATCTGAAATACTGGAAATAAACACATCAACTGAGCAAGTAAAAGAGTAAAAGGATGCAGTGAAAGAGTAGGCAGAAGATAATAAGGATAATAGTGAAAAAACACCTTACAGTTTCATGTAACTGCCACTTTCAGTGGTAAAAGCAAGACTAAGGAGCAAATTATTTCTTCCTAGGGATCAAACATTAACTATATTTACCGTTTATCATCCCAGAAATAAGGGTGATTTAGGACCTTGTCGACGGTCGGTCTCTTATCTTGTTCTTTGTTGATCATCCATTCTATGAGATCCTTTGCTGCAATATCTTGAATCTCGCCAAGAGAATATTTCCCTTCTGAAATGTTCACCTCACGGCGGATGCCATCACCAAAAGGATGTTTCCCGTCAGAGAGGATGTAATATGTTAACATCCCTGCTACCTGATGCAGAAACAAAGTTATCTAACAGGGAAAAACTGCACAATACTAACCACTGGACATGATTAGAGTAGGAAAAGTGTAAGTAATCACAAATAGTCTGAACTAAACTGATAATAAATACTCTTTTATTTAGATGAGCTCATTGTAATCATGGCTGCAGTTCATTCATGGTATTTCACAAACCTGGATGTCTGAGCTCGTTTTGTATCCGCCTTTTTCTGTCTGATTTACAATCTCCGTTGCCTCCCAGCCTTGTGTACCAGCTCTGTCAGTATACACTGTGGTTTTCTCCTCCTCCAGTTTACGACTCAAGCCGAAGTCGGCCAGCCTTGCCCTTTCTTGTTTATCTATTAGGAATAAGTTAGAATTTTGAATATACTGAATTAAAATTCTGTTGTCAATTTAAAGTGGATAGGGACCAGCTGCTGTTAAACTGGTTTGGGAACTGGGACAACATGATGGTGAGTAAATGATGACAGAAGCTAAATTTTTTAAATCTTTAAAGGATTAGTTCAGTCAAAAATTTTAATTGGCTGAACTCTCAGGCCATCCAAGTTGTAGATGAATTCGTTTTTTTTTTTTTTATCGGTACAGATTTGGAGAAATGTAGCATTACATCACTTGCTCACCAGTTGATCCTCTGCAGTGAATGGGTGTCGTCAGAATCAGAGTTCAAATTGCTGATAAAAACATCACAATAATCCACATCACTCCAGTCCATCACTTAATGTCTTGAGAGATGAAAAGCTCCATGTTGTTTTAACTTTAAATCATCACTTCTGGCCAAAATACGAGTTTATAATCCATAACAACTCTTCACCCAGTGAAAAAGTCCATCTCCTGTTGTCCTCTCGCATTAAAACATATTTGTTTAGAAATGTTTTTGCTTGTACAAGGTGCTTGATCTGTGCATATTTCTCTCCTGATTCAGAAGAGATGACTTTTTCACTGGAGAAAGCGATATTATGGATAGAGGACTCAATGGTAAAGGAAGCAACAGTTTGAAGTTAAAACGTCTTAATGATGGATTTGTTTCTTACAGACATGCAGCTTTCACTTCACAAGACATTAAATGATGGACTGGAGTGGTGTGGATTACTTGTGGATTAATGTGTTTTTATCAGCTGTTTGGACTCTCATTCTGACGGCACCCATTTACTGCAGAGCATCAATTGATGATACAGTAAAAATTATTATTCTAAAAAAAAAAAACAGAATAAATAAATAAATTTATATGAATACCTATCAAAACATTTCTAGGCTTTATATCGCGATGTATCACTTCAGCCCGGTGAAGAACTTGAAGGCCAAGAAGCATCTCCTCCACTATTCTCCTCAAAGTGGTCTCTTTTCTGTCATTTTGCTCTGGCTGACGAAGATATTCCATGTAGTCCACTAGATCATATTCACAAAGCTGGTTTGCAAGATAGTAAAAATCTTTATCCGCTGCACAGGTCACATACCTGACGATATATGGGCTTTCAAGCTTTGAATCTTGCAAAAGCTTCAGTTCATTTTCAAAGTCTTTGATGTTCTTTGGGTTCTTGGTTATTATTTTAATGGCCACCTCAATGCCATCTTCACTCACGCCAATATATACTTGTGTGCCACTTCCTCCAGAGCCAATCATGTACTTCACATCTTTATAAAAGTAGAGGTTCCCTACTTTTTGTTTGTCAGTTTCTCTTAGCAGCTCCTCTATTTTTGTACTATGTCTTGTACAGGATCTGTTTCTGTTCCACCAGGTGATTTGTTGGTCCTCAGTCCCCTGTTGGACAGCTTCCATCTGTACTTTTTTAGCATTTTGAGGGTGAGATTCAGTTTCCAGTACTTCTGATGAGGTCTGTGCAGATGCCCCTGCCATTTCCTGTTCAATTCCTACAAAATTATAGAAAGTATAAGAAAATATGTGAAGGTTATGCATGTTTCAAATATTTCTCGTGTTTTCACCAATGTTTCTTTAAGTTAAATGCTCTATATCAGGGCTGTCCAAACTCGGTCCTGGAGGGCCAGTGTCCTGCAGAGTTTAGCTCCAACCCTAATTAAACACACCTGAACCAGCTAATCAAGCTCTTACTAGGCATAGAAACTTCCAGTCAGGTGTGTTGAGGCAAGTTGGAGCTAAACTCTGCAGGACCCCAGGACCGAGTTTGGACAGCCCTGCTCTATATCTTAGTACTTTTTGACAATGAAATTATAATTATGTAACCACACAAATGAATCAAAGAATTTAGTACAAGCAGCATAAACATAGTAAGCAGAAAAAATGATAAACTACAAACATCCGGTCAGATCTAGAATCTGTGCCAGTTGGGTTTTGCCTTGTATGTGTTCTATGCGTCCTACTCTCTCTCACCTTCTCGTTTAAGATCTTCAACCAGGAAGGACTCATTCACTTTGAGCAAATCATAAAAAGCAGATTTGGCTTTGTTGGTGTTCAGAGCATCAAGTAACACTCTCAGTTTAGCCATATTTGTAGAGGCTACAAAAATATTTGAGTACGTTTCCTCGTGAATTATTTTAACAGCTTTCAGTGAATCAGCAATGGGCATCACAACAGTAACCTTTTGGATGAGTTTGTTACTGTAACGGTCCACAAACTGAGCATCTGAAAAATAAGTGACAGTTAAACCAGAATATTTGCCATATGCAATGTGAGTAATATACTGCAGAGTGGAAATATCCATTAAAGGAGTTTAAAGGGGCAGTTCACCCAAAAATGAAAATTCTGTCATCAGTTACTGAAGTTGTTCCAAACCTGTATGAGTTTCTTTTTACTTCTGAACACAAAATAAGATATTTTGTCGAAACCGAGCAATTGCTGGTAGCCATTAACTTCCATAGCAAGGAAAAAATACTATAGAAGTCAATGGCTACCGGCAACTGTTTGGTTACCCAAATTCTTCAGAATATCTTATATTGTACAGAAGAAAGAAAAGCATAATATTGGAATGCCATGAGGGTAAGAAAATTATGACAGAATTTGAATTCTGGGGTGAACTATCCCTTTAAAAATCGTGATGACTGAGCAGTCGAGTTTTGACAGTATACACATGTGTTGAAAAATCCTTACTATTTCAAAACCCCTCTCACCTTGATGTTCAAGCTCTTTAACCAGGTCTGGCTGCTTAGCTTGCAACACATTGTAAAAAGAAGATCTTGATTTGATGGTGCTCAGAGCTTGCAAAAGCACTGTCATTTTAGCATCTATAGATGCTTTCAGAATTAGTGAGTGTGTTTCACAGGGAATTGTTTTATCGTCTCTTAGTGCATCAGCAATGGGCATCACAGAAGTAACCCTCTGGATGAGAACTTCACTGTGATGTTTCACAAATAGAGAATCTGAAGAAGAAAAAAACATCAATTAGGAGAGTCCTACTCATCATAGTGAGCTAATACAGAAAGTTGTGTATGATCTGGTTCAGTCAGGTTAAACTTGGGTTTGGGGTGTCAGTTTAAAACTTACGCATCTGCTCCATTGTTTTTGTTCAATGTCGTTAAAAACTGCAAGTCTTATACACAGAAAATCTAATCAAAAAGATAAAAGCAATAAAGACATGATTAGAATATGCAGCAAGTCTATATACAATAAATGTAGTTGCATATGTCAATATTCATATAGGCTACACCTCATGAGTCAAGGCAATTAGCCTACATTATTAACAAATGATAATTATTATTAGTAACAATATTTCTAAGTATAATGTAATAATGCGTTAAACATGTATATTAATTGTGCCAGTTATCCGTTTTGATGTCTTTTTCAACTCTTTAAATTATATACTGACCACTTTCTTTGTTATTTAACCAACTTAACAAAGAGATAGGCCTAACGTTAGCCTATATAAGCATAACAAGTAAGTTACTGAAACCGTGCATTCAATCGTGCTGCCTAAAATCTGTCAAAATTCGGACATGGTGCGTTTTTCCTCTTGCTATTTTATTACGAGGGTGGGGTAAAATGAGGTAAAAATATATATTTTAACAAAAGCGAAATTTACAAACACCATGGTCGTTTGTGTCTATCAGCAAATAAAAAATAACTACCATTACACCACAGGGCGTGTTAAGACATTCAACAGGACGTACATTTACCTTGAACTTTTCTTCTCAACCGGATCTTTTGATTCGTTCGAACCGATTCTCACAGCGTTTGTAAAATCACAAGAGTGAGCTTTGACCGAACCGATTCGTCCTAATCCGTCTCCTCAATTGCTGTTATGCAATTACATAACGATTCCGTTCCTGTTTTTAATATTTTTGAATAGTTACACGTAGGATACAGAACAGGATTCTACTGGTCACTTGTCAGAAAGGAGAATGCCCAGTGATTGGTTAAAAGAACTGCCAGTCAAAGCACTTCAGTTTCGTCTTTCATGGCATGCATCAGTTTGTTGTGGGCTGAAATGCTCATGATCACTGGAGTATAGTTCTCCACAGTTGGTAAATAAACGCTAAGCTGAAATGGATATGGAAGAGAAGCCAAAATACGGTAAGTTTATTCCTGGTTTACATTTGCTGGTGTTTGTTGTTAAAGGGGTCATATGATGCTGCTAAAAAGAACATTATTTTGTGTATTTGGTGAAATGAAATGTGTTTATGCGGTTTAAGGTTAAAAAAACATTATTTTCCACATACTGTATATTATTGTTTCTCCTCTATGCCCCGCCTTTCTGAAACGCGTCGATTTTTACAAAGCTCATCGGTCTGAAAAAGCGAGGTGTGCTCTGATTGGCCGAATACCTCAAGCGTGTGACGGAAATGTTACGCCCCTCACCATACTGTTGTTGATGCCGTGTCCCGGCCAGCCACGAGACAAAAACATTAAAACCTATTACAAACGAGGCATTTGTTGCATCCAGTGGGGACATAATTACTGATTATTTTTTGGTTTGAGGTTTTTAAGAGAGCCCTTTCATATTTACGCTTCCAAACAGAAACTGAAATTGGTTTTAATTACTTTGCCGCCGCTATAAACACCCAGATATCAGCTAAGGAAGATATTTTTGGCTGCACACGCCGTGTTAAAGTGAAAGACTGTGGTGTGGTGTTATATTGTTGGTGTTTTGTTAGTAAGGCAACGCCTTAAAGCTCCGTTATTAGCTTTGTCAGTTCATATTTTGCAATTTTTTTGGAAGTATTTTACCTCGTGTTTCTTAGTCCTAAACAAACATAAAGTCTGAACACTCTGTAAACATTGTGATTTTAATTTAGCAGCTGATCGTTTACTGTAAATTTGGTGGTTGGAAAATAAATGCTGTGCATTTGGCTTTCCATCACATTGTGTTATGGCTGAAGTGTTCATGTTATACTATTAGTGTACAGGTTTGTTTATAGATTAATATTCAGAACAATCACAGCAAAGCTGTGGCACAGGGTGAAACTACATACAGACATATGAAACTACGCAGCTGTTGTGTGCATGAATACAACTCCTTGGACACAACATGGACAGCACTGAAAGGCTCAGTTGTGGCTGTTCTAATAGTTTGCATATGGTGTCTGTCCTTGGTTTCAGTTTGAAACCAGTGTTGCTTTAACAAGAACATTATTGCTTGTGCATTAGTTTAAAAACTAGTATTTGCAACAATTGCTTTGCATAAATTTGCTTAAAAAAGCTCTGCTTTTACTCTTGCACATCTCTTCACAAGTAGGCTATATCTTGTAATGTCATAGAGCACATAGTTAGGGGAGGCTGCTCTCACGAGTTGGAGTGCATGTAATTAAAGGGTGGAATATAGGATGGTGCTTTTTAAAGATGTAAAATAAGGCCTTAACCTCTTAATTTTAAACTCGTATGTTTTTCTGAGCTGTACTTATGTGCTATTTCTGCTGCTGAGGGCTTGAGTTTGACTGCAGCTGTTTCAAATTAGGGAAGGGATCACTTTTACATGCAGTGCAACTTCTCTAATAGTTTACAAGCACTGTTTGTCACTGGAATCTTGTTATATTGCCTAATTGCAATGATAATTGTGTAGTAGACTCATTTCTAGCGTAGTATTAAAGGCAAATACTAGCTCACTTTGTTTTTTAGGGTTTAGGGTTTGATATGAGTCACTGTGCTGGTGTAATTATCCTTTTTAGCAATTCTTTATGAATAATACACACTGGGTACTTTCTTTTTATGCATTTTTATTAGTTTAATAGAGTACAAGTTTTTGCCAGGCTCTAATAAAATATAAATAAGCACTGAGAGTACAGCCTTCATGTCTTATGCTATTGGGCTGTATTTGTACTTGTCTTGTATACTAGCATCTTGTAGTTAACTCATGTTAAAGTCAACTTTGTTATGAAGTAATGATTACTAATGATTGATTACACAGTAGTTTACTGAAAAACTTCTGGGGAATTCCTGAATTTATCAGAGCACATTGTGCTTTATTTCCTCAGAAGCCAGACAACAGGAAATCGCATATGGCATTTCCATAACGTCTAATTTTTCTCACTAATAAAACTGATGTTATATCTTAATTGTACAGTGACTTTTGAAAGGTGTAAGCTCCATGTACAGTACCAATTAGTCATCTTATCACATTCAGTCTAGGAAATGGACTGCTGACAGCAGCTTTCATTCCATTAGTCACTGAGAAAAAAATGGAAGTGCTATTGATTTGTTTTCTTCCTTTGCCTTTCTGTACAGTACATATTCAAAGGGCAGTGACCATTTTTTTTTACTTTATGGGTTGTTTGGACATTGTTTCTCTGTATGTTTTAATCATTATCAGAGTCATTATGCACTTTTCTTTACTAAAATGAAGCAATAATAATGAATACAAATGATTTATTCACTGCTTTGTCAAAAATCTTGTTTAATAACACAGAGTTTACTTATTTGTAATCATCGGACACAGAATAAGAGAGTCACTGAAGTCAGCTGTTTCTTCAAAAATCCTTTTTGAAGTGTTTCTTCATGCTATTAAGAAATTATAGGTAAAATAAGCAACCCTATTTTATTTCTTGATATATAACTTAATGTACTAATATAAATAAAACTATAACTGAAACAAGTTTTAATATTGACTTAAAAACTAACACTTTATTTTAAGGTCCAATTCTTGCTATTAACAAACCATTAACATCCTAATCCTAATTTGCTGCTTATTAATAGTAAGGTAGTTAAACAAATATTACAATGAAAATATAAAGATAAAAACTAAGAATAGTAAAAACTACAGAAGCCTATGTCTCTTTCAGATTTGGCTAAATGTTGCCAAATGGGGGTTTGATGGACTGTTTCTTCAAAAATCCTTTTTGAAGTGTTTCTTCATGCTATTAAGAAATTATAGGTAAAATAAGCAACCCTATTTTATTTCTTGGTATATAACTTAATGTACTAATATAAATAAAACTATAACTGAAACAAGTTTTAATATTGACTTAAAAACGAACACTTTATTTTAAGGTCCAATTCTTGCTATTAACAAACCATTAACATCCTAATCCTAATTTGCTGCTTATTAATAGTAAGGTAGTTAAACAAATATTACAATGAAAATATAAAGATAAAAACTAAGAATAGTAAAAACTACAGAAGCCTATGTCTCTTTCAGATTTGGCTAAATGTTGCCAAATGGGGGTTTGATGGGAAATCAATTTGTGGATCGATTCTGCAATTTTATTTCTTTATTTTTTTCTCCCCCTGAATGCATCGCTTCAGAAACAGCCGATCTCTTGCTTTCAGTTCCTTACACACACACCACTTGAACCTAAAATAATCATTCATAAAGTTTGAAGAGAATTGCAAGAGTGTTCACAGTGGGCTGTGATTACATTAATCTTGCGTCATAAAGAATAAAAGCCAAGGTGCAAGTACATTTAACCACTTAAATTACTCAGTTAAATGCACAAGCGCTCTTCTTTGTGAGCATTTGAGTGTGCAGTTAAAAACTAGCTTAGAGCATCATCTGCTGTTAAAAACTAAGCTCAGAATAGATTCCATCCAGAGACAATTGTGATGCATCCGGAAAATCGCAGAATTGATCCGCGAATCGATTTATCGTCCAACCCCTAAATCAATGAGATTCAACTTTGATTTGGTTAAATTGATTTGTAATCACTTTCCGTTTTCTCTGAATCTAAGCATAGTTGAACCAAAACTTTGTTTGTTTGTTTAATTAAATGACTTTAACTACATCATATCAGCATGAGTGGATTTACACATGAATAGGTCTAACTAGATATTGTGAAACCAAAAGAAAGTTTGGTTTCTCACACTTCAATTTCACACTGATAAATCTATGCAGACAGCAGGCTGTGTGTGACCTACAAGAGAAGGTCTTATATTTGTCCGAATCATTTCAGTCATGCTGCTAATGCAGTTTAGGAAGGCTCAAGAGACACTTACACGACAAAGTTGCTTTGCCGCAAAATGACTGTTAATGAAGTCGAATGAATGTCATTGCCATCACACCCAACTCAGATGCCTCCTTATGTTAGACACAAAAAAGATCCATTAAATCCTGTAGAGACAAAACGATGAGAAAAACAGTTCAAAAAGGACACAAGATCAAACGAGGGAAATCCAATATTTTCTTGCTTGGAAAAGGGGTGTTTAGTTCTGCTTGAACCTGATCTAGACTGGTTGAACCAGTTTTCAACAGTGGCAGGTTGGTTTCCCGCTTGAATTCAGGAAGTAACAGTCAGATAGTGGGCTGAAGGAATATCGTATCATCAGATAGAGCCGTTGAACATAAATATGCCTGTGGAGGAAGGTGCTTACAAAAATAGCGGTAATGTCACATGATGGTATCTTCTCTTGTATGCAAGCGTGCCTGTGTTTTCATGGTTTTGGCTTGTGGACAAGCCCTTTGAAGCTCTCATTGAGCAATTTACCACAAGTATAGTTCTGCTGTTGTGTTCTCTTGTATGAGTAATGAGATAGCTGGGAGTATTTCTGTGCAGTCAGCCTGGTGTCATGTCCAGACATTGATTCAAATGGTTTCCCATAATCTGTGGGATATTTCAGTGGCTGTGTTTTAGTTCCCTGAAGCTGCTCTAATGGCACTGCTTTTGGTTTTTATTCCATTTGCATTCATTCGGTGTATCCGTTGAAGTGTGTTAACACTGCATTAGTATCATACTAGGCCTTTGTCCATCTTCACAATACCCTGGTCTGCCTGGGAACTAAAGCTCTCAGTCTTTGCATGCCTGTCTCGGAGGGTGTGGATGTTTACAGTCACACGCCACAGTAGAAATTCTCATGTCAATATATTCCCATTAAGTGGTGGGGGTTTGCCTGCATTTTAGCAATCCATGGTGGCAGTTTTAATTTTAGGACAAGTCAAGTCAAGTTTATTTGTACAGCGCTTTTCACGATACAAATCATTGCAAAGCAACTTTACAGCAAATTAAGTTTCTACAATATTTAGTGGTAGTTTATCAGTGGTGACTGTCAGTCAATGTACATATGGCAGAAATGTACGGAAAAATCAATTTAAGACGTAATAAAACAGACGATGAACACTATTAACAGCAATTATTATATTATGCAATCAAACTTATAGCAAAATGTGGTAGTTCTGTACGTTGTTTCAGGGTTGGCATCATCTGAGGTCCTCTGAGGGGTTGGCATCATCTCTTCTCAGGTGTTCTGGATCCAGACTGAAGCTTGTGTAAATCCTAGTCCTGTGGCAAAAAACAGAGAAACATATAGAGACATAATTAGCGTAGCTGCTGTTCCAACCAAGCACAATTGATTTGTTTAACCCAAGCTAAAGAATAATAATGTGCGTTTGATCAGATATAACTGCAGTAAAAGATTATGAGATGTATTATTTGAATGTTTGGCCAACAAGATGTGTCTTTAATCTAGATTTAAACAGAGAGAGTGTGTCTGAACCCCGAACATTATCAGGAGGCTATTCCAGAGTTTGGGAGCCAAATGCAAAAAAGCTCTACCTCCTTTAGTGGACTTTGCTATCCTAGGTACTACCAAAAGTCAACAAATCATTGTAATGATGAGTCCAAACTTAGTTATTCACTATAAAGATGAATAGCAAGCAGCAACCTTGCAGTTTTTAGTAACTTAGATTTTAAGCACTTAACTAATCCACAACCATAAACTTACTTGCTATTACACTCTTAAAAATAAAGATGCTTCAAAAGGTTCTTCAAGCGATGCCATAGAAGAACCATTTTTGGTTCCACAAAGAACCATTCAGTCAAAGGTTCTTTAAAGAACCATCTCTTTCTTACCTTTTTATAATCTGAAGAACCTTCTTTCACCACAAAGAAGCTTTTGTGAAACAGAAAGGTTCTTCAGATGTTAAAAGTTCTTTATGGAACCATTTAGACAAAAAGGTTCTTCTATGGCATCGCGAAGCACCTTTATTTTTAAGAGTGTACCTTACAAACCTTCCAACAATGAACCAACACTTACTATTACTTATTAAAAGGCAACTCATCTCTGCTTTACTAACTTATTTTATGCTACACTTGGCATTGCACACTATGAAATCAAATGTATGTATTTGAAATGCTGTGTGTGTGATCATATAATCAATAAATGCATTTTTTTCAGTCTCATGAATTTTAACTAATTGAATAGTGCTTGGAATATTTTCACCATGTTCACATACTTTTTAACAGAATAAATGTAATTGTTTTCATGATCAACAAATTTATGCTGATTCAGTTGGTTTGTTAAAACTGTAATCTAAGTGGATGGAAATGTATATGCAATTCAAATGCATAAATCTTACATTTAGGCCCAATTTTTGTGTGCGTGTTGGTTGTGATGTTCCTCATGAAGTCTTTGTGTGAGTAATCATGTACAAGTCATTTTATGTTGATTACTTAAGTGTTGTTCAATCCAATGCATTTTGTTAAGTTATTATGTATGCTTTTCGCTAGTGTTTGAGACATAAATGGAACAGATTTTCTGTTCCAGTACAAGACAAGAGTTTCATGAACTCAATGGAAAATTCTACCAGTTTTCTCCATAAGACAGCTCTGTGGTTGGCGAATAAGAGCATTTGCACATCTGTTCTTCATTTATTTCCGTTGAAGATCAGTGGCCCTAAAAAGTGGACATGCTTGAAAAAGGCTGAATATATCAGATCCAAAAATATCAAAGCAACTAAGCAATTGGCATACAATTTTTTTTTTTTGCACTTGCCTTGAGGAATCTGGTTTCAAAGTGGTTTGAAAACCTAACCTAACCCACATATAGATGTTTTTGTGAAATATTTGCATGAAAATGTGCTTGTGCCATCTTTTTTTAATAAATGCCATTTAGATTGACATATTTTTTTCTAATGCAGTGACATTAAGACGTTTTTAAGCATGGCATACAAATCCAAATACTTCCAGCTTGACTCATCATTTGAGCTAAATTAACTTAACAGGGCAGCTTGGTCACTTGCTGTTTAGCACAACATTTCATACCATGTGACTGACTTATTTTAGAAGCAACCCCCCCTGGCCCTAGATGTTAACTGACAAGCAGCAACAAATGTACAGCAATTAAAAGCATGCATATAATTGCATGGAAAAACTTAGCTTAGCTTCTTAGCTTACTCGACTTACCCTTTCCATTCCTTTTTGTGATGAGAGGATTCGTTCCAGGACTGTAAAATAAGAAGTATTTCCAAAACAATGTGCGTGGGATGCTGTTATTTCTGGCACGAAACTAGAGTTGTGAATTTCTGATGGAAATGTAAGCGGTGTTTGCCTGTGCATAAGCCACTACCAAAAGACAAGGGTGTTCTGAGTGGTTTTAAGCATGCTGCTACACGTTGCTAGGGTTTCTTAGGTGGTCGTTTACTATGTTGAGGAAGCTCTTGCTCACTCGCTATGCTGGAATGTCATTTTCCAGGCATGTGCTGGAGAAACTCCTCTGCTGCAGATCAGCAGGGGTTATGCAAACACGTGCTTAATTGGGTAAACACTGCCTGAAATGCAATTTTATATGTGAGTGGTTTTCTTTATTGACTCTTTTAGTTCAATTGTATTTAATTTAGTTTTTCACTGTTGTTCTCACAGGACAGCCCAAACAATTTGACCCCGACTTCAAAGGGCCTATTATTTTAGAAGCAACCCCCCCTGGCCCTAGATGTTAACTGACAAGCAGCAACAAATGTACAGCAATTAAAAGCATGCATATAATTGCATGGAAAAACTTAGCTTAGCTTCTTAGCTTACTCGACTTACCCTTTCCATTCCTTTTTGTGATGAGAGGATTCGTTCCAGGACTGTAAAATAAGAAGTATTTCCAAAACAATGTGCGTGGGATGCTGTTATTTCTGGCACGAAACTAGAGTTGTGAATTTCTGATGGAAATGTGAGCGGTGTTTGCCTGTGCATAAGTCACTACCAAAAGACAAGGGTGTTCTGAGTGGTTTTTAAGCATGCTGCTACACATTGCTAGGGTGTCTTAGGTGGCCGTTTACTATGTTGAGGAAGCTCTTGCTCACTCGCTATGCTGGAATGTCATTTTCCAGGCATGTGCTGGAGAAACTCCTCTGCTGCAGATCAGCAGGGGTTATGCAAACACGTGCTTAATTGGGTAAACACTGCCTGAAATGCAATTTTATATGTGAGTGGTTTTCTTTATTGACTCTTTTAGTTCAATTGTATTTAATTTAGTTTTTCACTGTTGTTCTCACAGGACAGCCCAAACAATTTGACCCCGACTTCAAAGGGCCTATCCAAAACAGGTAAGAAACGAGCCAATTTATTTGATTTTTATGACATTGAAGCAATTGTTCACCTAAAAAATATTTTTTTTTTGCCCCTTTCACTTTCACTTTTTCACAGAGAGTGGAAATGAGGATGGAAAATGATCATTAATACAAACATTGGACTTTTTTATAAACTAACCCTGTGAACAACTTAAACTTTTGAAATGGCATTTCATGACCCCTTTAAAGCATTTTAAAGCATGTTGCAACAGACTGGTTCTCTCTGCTCCACAGAGGATGCACAGACATTATTTGCTGTATCTTCTTCATCGTGGCCATAGTGGGCTACGTTGCGGTGGGAATACTGGGTGAGTCAGTCTGCAATAGTGTTAAAGATGGACTGGGTGCTGCTGTGTAACAATTATCCTTTAGCTTCATTTTTAATGTGGTAGTCAGTGTTGCCAGATTGGATGGACGATTTCCAGGCCAAAAGCTCACAAAATCCCACCCAAAAACCGCCCAAAACTTTAACTGTTAAAACAATGTGATGGAATATGTAAATCAAGGTTGATAAGGGCCATTTTCAACGTCAGCAGTCAGAATAATCCAATTAAAATGCAAAACGTGGCCAATATAAGTGATAGGAAAAAGCGTTCATGCACACACCATGACAGTCAAACTGTGTTATTCATTGATAGGCTACATACTGAATTATAATCCGACAGTTAAAAAAAAATAATAATAACAATAATGCGCTTCGTGTCGCTCTATAATTTTACACAGAACCGGAAGCCTCTTGTTAAATTCATATTGTAGAACATAATACAGAACTTTGCCCAGTCAAAACTAATCAAGTCTAGCAGTTTTCAAGGATTTATCAATCTGGACCGTTTAAAAGATCAAAGACAGGACCGTATAAACCGACATATTTAGTTTCGGTTTTGATTAATTAATTCAAATGTGCTTTGATTTCGGAGTTGCAGTGATAGAGCCTTCGTGTCATCTCACTCCACAATAATTCACGTTTTGAGAGTTGAGTCACTCTCCCACTCTTTAACTTATATTTAGGCATTGTGATTGCTTGAATATACAGTCACTACATTCAAGCACCAGCGCCTCTGCAGTGTGTGTGTGTGTGTGTGTGTGGGAACCCACCCACACTGGCAACACTGGTGGTAGTGTTGTTTACTGATTTGTTTGTAATGAGTGTGTGTTTGTTAGTGTTGGGCGATATAGCTTAAAAAATATGTATTTCAGTATTTTGCTGATATTCAAAATATTTAATAATCTGTATTTGCTCTGAAGTGAAACTAAAGAACTGAATGTTTTCACAATGCTGAATGTAACCACTAAAGCACACTAAAGATCAAGTAAAAAGAAGACATGTTTCATGTTTCCACACTGTTTTTCACTAAATGAACACAGCCAAATTTACCAACATGTATATGTGCTAAAGAACATATATGAAAAATGCTCCACGGGGACTTCCACAAACATTTTTGAGTATGAATCATTGAATGAGAATTTTGAATGAATTTAAATGGATAGTTTGATCAGTTCACAGAAATAAATTGCACTTATTAAATCTAACACATTTAAAATCTCTCATCCTCTAATGACGTGGTTTTGGAAATGTAATAGCTACATAAAAGGTTTGAGAATTCCTGCTCTGTGTGTGAATGAAATACTCATTATTTCTGTTTGCATCTGTCAGCCTGGACTCACGGTGACCCGAGGAAGGTGATCTACCCCACAGACAGCCTGGGACAGTACTGTGGCCAGGGAAAACTGGAGTAGGTTACACCAAATTTAAGATTATTATTTGTTGCTCCGGTTCTTTTTAAAGATTCAGTCAAGTCATTTGTAAATCTTGACTGTAAAGGAGAACTTTAAGAGTAAAATAACCACCTGAAAGTAACCACCTTTTTCATATGCCCCGTGATGCTTTGCATGAATTATGGGAGTAACTACTGTTAAACTGTAAATAATCAGTGAAAGGTTCACTCTGTGAATGCAATAATAAGCATTTTCAAAAAACTAGCACAATGAGGTGACCTTAACCTTCAAATGTGAAAATATAAATAAGTTACTTTCAGTAGATCATGAAGAACTGCAAAATATTGCTGCAGCAATATTATGCACGTGCTAAATATCACTGTAGTAATATATGTCTGTTACGTAACATATACGTTGCCCTAATCAAAAATGCTCATTAACTAGAACAATGAGTGATGATATTTCAATGTCATTTCTGTCATTTTGACGGATAAGAAATATTGTGTTTACCTGCTTTAGAAACATTCCAGTAAACACTGCTAATAGGGAACCGATGTGAAAATGAAAGACAGTTACATTTAAAGAGTCCCTGTGAAAACAAACCTGGATAGAGATGTGAGGATTTGGGGAGAAAAAGAAGAGATTCTTAGTGCATTCCAGTGAATTATTCACAGGATATGTATAGTAAGTAAAATCGAGCAGACCACAAATGCACACTGTATGTCTTTTTTCCAAATGGGATATTCTTTATACCATGTTAATTAAAATATCAAGTATTATGTTATTCTCCTGCCATCTGAAAAATGAACATGAAGGAAAATATACAGCTCATTCAGTAAAAATGACAGATAAGGATTATTTGTAGTGCAACCTTATATGGCATGATATGTCTTTTTGAGTGAAACCTAAAAAACAAAAAACAAAATCAAATATTGCAAGGACTAGGAATGCGTTAATATTTTCATTGCAATTAATCAGTGTAAGCCTCAATGAACTGAGAATGTGTTTTTGTGATGTGTGTAACAGGAAGCAGCCCTTGTTGTTCTACTTTAACATGATGAAGTGTGCCAGTCCCATGGTCCTCCTCGAGTTTCAGTGTCCCACGCCTCAGGTTTGTGTCCTGTCCACCCGTTTCTATCTGTGGCAACTCTGTTTTTGGGTTGGCATGCTACTACTGTATACTGCTCATACATTATAGCAGAACTCTTTTCATTCATAGTATGTGAATTTTCACTTCTATTATGTGCTTGCATGTGCAGTACACAACCAGAGTGCACTGTGGGGAATACTGTATCCCACAATGCAATGCACTCAACTTATCTTTAATTTGCATTTGCATTTATTTACATCATTTGTTTAGCAGACACTTTTTCAAAGCAACTTAGAAATAAGGCAAGCAATATTGTTTATGTATTTATATGTTGATTCCGACTGCCATAAGTGAACATTTTTATACAACACTGGATTAAAAATAAGAAAGTAACTCTTTTCTTGGTGATAAATGGACAGCATTTGTCAAATGAATGATGATAATGATTGCTTCACATACCATTTTAAAATAATAGGCACTGTATGTGCAGTATCAAGGTTTACTGTCTTTTAGCATAGTTTTTCATGTTTTAGTAAATAAGTGCATGCAAAACTAAGGTTATGTTATAGACTTTTTTTTGTTTTGTTTTTGAGAGTCAAACCTGTCATATCCTGAAGTTAGTTTTCTTGCTGTGTGTAGGTGTGTGTAGAGAAATGCCCTGATCGCACGTTGACTCTGGTAACCGCCATTGGAAACGCACAAGACTGGGAATATTACAAAAGCTATTGCAGAGCAGACCCAGGGGCAAAGGTACGTTCATTTTTAACAAATAATTTTTAGCTGTTGGTTAAATATCCAGTTCATTTTTTTTGCAAATGTCTAATAACCGATCGATTCTGTCTCCCTTTAAAGCCAGTGGTGGACATTTTGCAAAAAAAACTCTGCCCTGCATATCTGATTTCCAGCAAACCATGTAAAGCTTTTGTTTTTATTATTACAATATTTACTGTATGGGAAATTATTACAAATTTTTCATGGTTCTGTTTCTTAATCCTGTTGTCCTCTCTCTCAGTTTTGCAGCGATGTTTTCCTTCTATAGGCAAAAAGGGTGATGTCATCACAGTGGGCGATCAAGAAACATTTAATGATGGAGACAAAATGAGAGACGCTAAAGATCTGGTGGCTGGAATGAAGTAAGCACACATTTATACTACTCAATCATGCATATTGCAAGGAAATTGCTCATTTATATGTCACTGCTGCAATTGCAATTGCAGTGCAATTCAAGGGCTATTAATTATAAATTCATATTTGTTTCGACAATCAAAGGAATGCAACAATAGTCATGGAGGGCCGTCAAGTTGCAATGAAGATCTTTGAGGATTACACAAAGTCTTGGTACTGGATACTAATGTAAGTTAAAAAAAAATTTAAATATTTTTTATTCATATTAGTGAATATGCTATCTTTCAATAAAAATAATTAGTGTTAATATTTGGATCAGTGTTATTTTAATACAAATAATAATTTTAATTCGTTTTTTTATAAGTTTTAGTCATTTTGTTGTGTATTTTTGCCATTTATTTTTATATATTTTATATATTTCTGTTTAGTAGTTATTATTATTATTTCAATTGTATTTTAGGAATTCCTAGTTTTATTTTAGTATTTCAGATTAAACTAAATGAATATTAGAAATATGATATAAACATTATATTTTTTATGTTAGTTATGCTAGTTTTATATTCGATTTATTTTACTACTTTAAGTGGTTACTTGTGTAATATATCATAATAGTTATTTTATTTCAATGAATGTCTTTCCTGCTGTGATTGAGTGTTAATCTGTTTCTTCGTGCAGTTGTTTGTTGATCGCTGTGGTGCTGAGTCTGATCTTCATCGTTCTTCTGCGTTATCTGGCTGGAATCATGGTCTGGGTCATGATCTTCATGGTCATCGCTGTCGTTGCCGGTGGTATGGTATGGTTCATACTCTTTAGTACGTTCATCCTGTCTAGTATATTGTTAAACTGTCAATCATTTGTCTGTTTCTTACGCAGGTATTGCTCACTGCAGCATAAAGTATGTCAATCTGAAGGACACGCCTGGTTCTAATATCACCCTACAGCAGCTGGGCTTCCAGCCCGATTTCTCTGTGTACCTGCACATCAGACAGTCCTGGCTGGCCTTCAGTGAGTAGCCACACTCTTACTATTGCTCATATTTGGGGTTAGCAATTTGAAAACGACCTTAAATATTAAACTACAGCCTGTAATCTGTAGTACAAAATTGAAGGATGAACCCAAGCCGTTATCATAAAATCGTCTTTTAATTAGGGCTAATAAGGAACCATCTCAAACACGCTATCAGATGCGCAGCAACACACTGAAAACCACCTACAACACCCTTAGCATCACAGCAGAAAGTTGCATGGACAATCTAGTCGTCAGTTTATTACTGTTTTGCTGTGGCTAGTCTTTCTTTCTCTCACAACACCTCTAAAAAGAGTCAAGTGGTTTTGCTATGGGCCTGTAGGTTTAGCAGTTTGTAGCTGTTTTAAATTTGAAAGTAACTCCTTTTCCTCTCTGCAGTCATCATCTTGGCCATTTTGGAGGTCATCATCATCATTCTCCTCATCTTCCTCAGGAAACGAATCCGGATCGCTGTTGAGCTCATGAAGGAGGCCAGCAGGTTTGGGTTTTTGGGAATCCATATGAAACCATAGTAAATACATGATGTTTCCACATCAACATCTTCTTGTTACGGGGATTGTGATTGTCATTAAAGTTTAAAGACGTGGTACTTGTTTTACCTTTAAGTCTTGTTTTTTGTGTCCTCTTTCAGGGCTGTGGGTTATGTGATGTCTTCGCTGTTCTACCCTATTTTTACCTTCCTCCTCCTGACCATAGTCATCGCGTACTGGGGCGTCACTGCAGTGTATCCTTGGCTCAAGACTGAAGCGGAAACATTAATCAGTGTTGGCACTATTAGACAGGAACTTGCATCTTACAGTCACTCACTTAATCTTAATTAAAATCACTCTAATGGAAGGTCAATGGGCAAAAGGTCACCTCCTGAGTCACTCACTAAAACAAACAAATGTAAGTCCATTGCATGATTTAAGGAGCCTCCAGAAAAAGAACGGGGCACTGTCAAAACATCGACCAAAATTAAATTACATAAAAAAACTAATTTAAATAAATATTAAAAAAGAATACACAAAATACTTTTGAATGACCATCAGTCAATACATCTACTAAAACTGAATTCAATTAAATATATCATTTTAAATTACATAATTTAAAAATAGATAAATAAAATATTAAATCTGAATACACAGATACTTTTGTATGACTGTCAGTGGAGATATATATTTATCTGTTTAAGAAGATAGTGTTAGGGATATTTTATAGCAATAACGTTCCCAGCAACGCAGCCCTTATAGATGTATATGGTAATCTAATATCTAAAACGCCTCTTTAAACACAGTATTGTCTATAAAAAGTCACGTGTTTAACATATTTCAACCAGTACTAGTCCTTAATCGCGCTGATCAGTTTCCTCTCTACATCCAGTGAACCTGTTTATAAGGTTTTCAACGAAACCGATTGTCTACATGCAAGACAAACCTGTGACCCTGAGGTGCGTAAATACATATTCATGCATAATCATATTGTTAAAATATTACACACATTACACTGTATTATACACTTTATGCATAACATTTTTTTTTTACTTTGAATATGTAGTGCAGTCCTAAAGTGAATGATCCCTGTTTCACATTTCCAGAACTTCACTCTTTCTACTATGAAGAGAGACTGTCCGCGGTCTGAGTGCCTGTTTGCTTTCTATGGTGGGGAAACGCCATATCACAAATACCTGGTCGTCCTTCAGTTCTACAACGTCTTCCTGTTCTTCTGGTGTGCCAACTTTGTCACTGCTCTGGGACAGATGACTCTGGCAGGGGCATTTGCATCCTACTACTGGGCTCCTAATAAACCCAATGACATGCCTGCATACCCGCTGTGTGCCTCTCTGGGCAGATCCCTCAGGTATGGCTTTAGAAAAAGATGTATGCAATATGCATGTTAGCAAAGTGTGTCATTTGGGCCCTAAGCATGATTTAGTTGATATATTTGATGCATTTTGTCCACACACAGATATCACACAGGCTCTCTGGCATTTGGTTCTCTCATCCTCGCCATCGTCCAGATTATCAGGGTTCTGCTGGAGTATATTGATCACAAACTCAAGGGTAAGAGAAAAACCTTAACAGATCAAAAATTGATCTAATTGCTTAATCACTGCAATATGTTATGGAATGTGCATATAATGACTGTTGACGCATGCAATTGACTATTTTCCTACAGAGCTATGGTAGTTTTATGTCTATCGGATTGCTCTGCAGTCTCTTTCTTTTCACATAATAAAATAACGTCAACTCAGATCAATTATTCATGTCCTTTTATTTATAAGTAGTCATGTAATGAGCTGGTTAATGTAGCAAAATAAACCATTTTAGGGTGACCCTGCAGCTTCCCGTTTTGAGGTGATGCCGAACATTATCCATTGCCGTATTCTGCACTGTTCACAATAATCTGTTTTGTGTGTGTGAACTCTTTTGCTTTCTTTTGGTCCCACAGGAGCAGAGAATAAATTTGCCAAGTTCTTGTTGTGCTGTTTGAAATGCTGCTTCTGGTGCCTGGAGAAGTTCATCAAGTTTCTGAACAGGAACGCCTACATTATGGTCCGTGTTCTTCCACTGCAACTTAAAGGAATAGTTCACCAAAAAAAATGAAATTTTGCTAAAAATGTACTCACCCATAGGCCATCCAAGATGTAGATGAGTGTGTTTTTGGATTTTGAACAATTTTAGCATTACATCTGATCACTTGCTCAGCAATGGATGCTCTGCAGTGAATGGGTGCCGTCAGAATGAGAGTCCAAACAGCTGATAAAAGCATCACGATAATCCACACCACTCCAGTCCAGCAATTCATGTCTTGTGAAGTTAAAAGCTGCGTGTTTGTAAGAATCAAATCCATCATTAAGGCTTTTTTAACTTTTAAACCTTTGCTTCCAGCTTCTAGTCCATAATCCATAATAAAGTTTCCTCCGGGAAAAAAGTCCATCACCTGTTGTTTTCTCACCTCAAAATCCTCCCACATATTTGTTTAGAACTGTTTTTAATGGTTTACACTTGTAAACCGTGCTTGATCTGTGAATATTTCTCTCATTCAGATGACTTTTTCTATTGAAGAAAGCAATTTTATAGATAAAGGACTATTTTAGCTGGAAGCGACAGTTTGAAGTAAAAAAAAAAAATTCTAATTATGGATTTGTTTCTTACAAACACAGCTTTTCACTTCACAAGATGTTAATTGATGGACAGGAGTTTTTTTGGATAACTTGTGGATTATTGTGATCTTTTTGTCGGCTGTTTGAACTCTCATTCTGACGGCACCCATTCACTAATCTGTCAACTGTTAATTTTTTCCCCCTGATGCCTACACAAGTGACTGTATGTAATCTTAAAAGCATCTCTAAATGCAGTCTTTGCTGAATAAGTGCTTTTTTTCTGCCACAGGTGGCCATATACGGTAAAAACTTCTGCCGATCAGCACGTGATGCCTTCTTCCTCCTCATGAGAAACGTAATCAGGTGGGTGACCTCTTCAAACTGTAGGGTTGAAGGATTTGAAAATGAGTGCAGGATTTTAACATATTTAAATTGACAGTGCAACGCTCATGTTGTGAAGCACTAACAAACAATGAAACATGATGCTGATAACAGCAAAGAAGTGCATGCATTTGAACATAGACCAATAATTAAAAATAGTTCAAAAGGCAAGGTGCAGGAAGTAAGGCACCCGTTGGTTTTGTAAGCTGGTGTTGGCTGGCTGAATTTGACGAATGTTTCACAGATGTGTTCACTCGTCACAGGGTGGTAGTCCTGGATAAGGTCACCGATTTCATCTTATTCCTTGGAAAACTCCTTATTGTGGGGCTTGTGGGTAAGTTTCCTAGTTTACACTGGTTATATAACACTGAACTAAACATTAGATTTAAATACTGACAAACTTGAACTACAATTTGGTTGAATACATCAAGTGGCTTTATCAATCCCCCTTTTTTCCCCCAGGGATCTTCGCTTTCTTCTTCTTCTCAGGACATACGGATGCATTTAAGGGTGCCACACCCAGTCTCCATTACTACTGGGTTCCTATTTTGGTGAGTGATCAAGTGTGACTATAAATGAAATAAAATAAAAATGTAAATGAACAATATTCTATTTAATGAACTCATCTGTCTAAATTGTAATAATGTAATAATGGCCATGCTGGAAAATAGTAAGATTTTTATTTTTGTTTTGTTTTTGAAAGACATCTCTTATGTTCAGCAAGACTGCATTTATTTGATTAAAACATCTTGTGAAAACAGTAATATTGTGAAATATTTGTACAATTTAAAATAAGAGTTTTCTATTTGAATCTATGTTATAATGTAATTAATTGCTGTGATCAAAGCTGAATTTTCAGCATCATTACTCCAGTCTTCAGTGTCACATGATCAGAAATCATCTGCTCAGAATTCTTTATTGAACAAAGTTTGAAAAACATATATTTGGAATAGAAATCTTATATTATTTGTTGAATAAAACTATCACTTTAAAATAAAAACCAAACTTTTGAACAGTACTGTATGCATGTGTGCTACCTATATTTATAGACAAATGAAATAAAAGCTGCAGCTGTCTGTCTGAATATGTATGTCTGTGTTTTTTCTCCAGACTGTGTTGGTGGGCTCCTACCTCATTGCACATGGGTTTTTCAGCGTTTATGCTATGTGTGTGGACACACTCTTCCTCTGCTTCTGTGAGTACTTGCCATTAATAAATGTTTTAACTCCAGAAACCGCTAGTATGAGTATAAATATCAAGCCGTCAAGGTCCACTCTGGAAGGTAGAAAATAAATTCAAAGAAATGTACATCCCCTACTTTAAAATTGAAATTTGCGATCCTTTAAAATGGTTTAGTGCTGCATTTAGGGAAATATAGAATCTGTTTTGGATGAAGCCTCATGTCACTAATGATCCGACTGACTCTTCATTACGCATGGCAGTGCATGTAGCTCGGTTTAAACCTCTCAAGGCACCTTAGACTGAGAATTTAATCTGCGTTCCAGTTATGTATTCTGGTATGAGGTGTTTCTAATCCGTCTATGGTTCCTGCTTAACTAAGGTGTGGCATTTCAATGGGACTGATATGCTTTTCTGTCTTTCGTCTCATAATAACCTGATTCTTTCTTTTTCTCTTTCTCCTTTTTATGGCTGTTCCCTCTA